TCCCTCCTAGCACTGATGATGTTCCCTAGTTGGGTCATGAAATGTCTACAAGAAATACACCAAGCTCAGAGAGCACCAAGGACCTCACAGCTCCGATTCCTTCCTTTCACCTCTTCCTCCTCCTCCCTCGGTCCTTTCTCCCCCACCCCATCTGTAAACCCCCCGCTCAGTTCTAGCACTGATGACGTTACCTATTTGGGTAATGAAACATCTGCAAGAAAATAGCAAGCTCAGAGAGCACCAAGGACTCCACAGTTGTCCTCCCCCTCTGCCTCTCCTCCTCCTCCCCCTCTCCTCCTCCTCCTCCTCCTCTTCCTCCTCTTCTCCTCCTCCTCCTCCCCCTCTTCCTCTTCCTCCTCTTCTTCCTCTTCCTCCTCCTCCCCCTCTCCTCCTCTCCTCCTCCTCCCCCTCTCCTTCTCCTCCTCCCCCTCTTCCTCCTCCTCCTCCCCCTCTCCTCCTCCTCCTCCTCCCCCTCTCCTCCTCCTCCTCTTCCTCTTCCTTCTCTTCCTCCTCCTCCTCTCCTCCCTTCTTCCTCTTCCTCCTCCCCTCTTCCTCCTCCTCCTCCTCCTCCTCCTCCTCCTCCTCCCTCCTGTAAACCCCATTCCCTTCTAACCTAATGTTTAGCTAGTTGTGTGCAAGGAAAACTCCCAAGCTCCCAAGGACCGCACATTTTATTTTCCAAGATTAAGATCAAATTCTTTTACGCCGTTTTTCGTTCTTCTCCTCTGAGCTGCCTGGTGTCCCCCGGGTGGCTAGGTGTGGGCGGCCTATAAATTTAATTAAATTAACCCAAATTGTGAGGACGGCGTGGGGGGTGGGAGGCTTTGGGATCGACTGTTAAGCTGCTGCATTGCTTTCCTCCCGGCTGGAGGGTTGCTGCTGAACCATGGAAGCTCAGGCGGGGATCGAACCGCCCTTTCCCTCCTCGCTTTCTCCTTTTTTGCAGGCATTCTCAGCATGATCATCATCCGGACTCTCCGGAAAGACATTGCCAACTACAACAAGGAAGACGACATTGTACGTTCCCTTTTGGGCTGGGGCTCCTTCTCGGGGGTCCTGAAAGGGCTTTGTGTGGGGGGCGGGGGTGTGTGTGTGTCTGGGGGAGGCTTCCCCCGGAGAACTGGCGCCTCTTGAATTCGGGACCCTCTCCTGAAAGGCAGCGGCGGAAGGGTTTCCCTGCTCCCTGGCTCTGGATGGAAAGCCATCTAAGGTGGAAAGAGCTTGGGTCTTGTAGCAGGGAGTTCCTCAGGTTAATGACCAGCACCGTGATTGGGGAGAGGGAGTGGGGGGGGGGAGAGAGAGAGAGAGAGAGAAAGTGGGGGGGAGATTTGTCTTAGGCTCATGGTGTGGCCCCCCCTGCAGGAGGACACCATGGAGGAGTCGGGGTGGAAGCTGGTGCACGGGGACGTCTTCCGGCCGCCCCAATATCCCATGATCCTCAGCTCCCTCCTGGGCTCCGGCATCCAGCTCTTCTGCATGATCCTGATCGTCATCTGTGAGTACGCCCCCCCCCCCCGAGGGCGCGAGAGCATTTCCCCACCTGGGAAGGCTGGAGGGGCGCACCAAACCCGAGCAGGGGGGGGGGGTGTCTCCCCTGGTGGCACAACATGGCCTGACCGACCCCTCCTCCACTTCTTCCTCCTCTTCTTCGCCTTCCTCCTCTTCATCTTCCTCCTCTTCCTCCTTCCTCCATCCTCTTCTTCCTTCTCTTCTTCCTCCTCTTCATCTTCCTCCTCTTCCTCCTTCTTCCTCTTCTTCACCTTCGTCCTCTTCATCTTCCTCCTCTTCCTCCTTCCTCTTCTTTCTCCTCTTCCTCCTCTTCTTCCTCCTCCTCTTCTTCCTCTTCCTCCTTCTGTTCTTCCTCCTTGTCTTCCTCCTCCTCCTCTTCCTTCTCCTCTTCCTCTTCTTCCTCCTCCTCTTCCTCTTCTTCTTCATCTTCCTCCTCTTCTTCCTCCTCCTCTTCTTCTTCCTCCTCTTCCTCCTCTTCTTTCTCTTCCTCTTTTCCCTCTTCCTCCTCCTCCTCCTCTTCCTCTTCTTCCTCCTCCTCTTCCTCCTCTTCTTCTTCTTCCTCCTCTTCCTCCTCTTCCTCCTCCTCCTCCTCTTCTTCATCTTCCTTTTCCTCCTCTTCCTTCTCCTCTTCCTCCTCTTCTTCCTCCTCCTCTTCCTCCTCCTTCTTCATCTTCCTCTTCCTCCTTCTCTTCTTCCTCCTCCTCTTCTTCCTCCTCTTCTTCTTCCTCCTCCTCTTCTTCTCCTCCTTGTCCTCCTCCTGCTGTTTTCCCCACAACAGTCCTGCGAGGTGGGTTGGCCTGAGAAGGGAATAACTGGCCCTAAGTCAGCCACCTCGACTTGATGCTTAAGGCAGGCCTAGAACTCCGCGTCTCCCGGCTTCCATGCCGGCACCTTCTCCTGTACACCAGTATAAATCCCTTCAACTCTTCTGCCCCTCGCCCTGGGGTTGGCCCTCTTCCTTCTCTTCCCCTTGGATTCCTGGCCCGGTTCTTTCTCGGGGGGTGCCACGCCAGGTCGATGCTCCAGGGACTGGCCAACCTCCCCGACGTGTCCCCCAAAGGTTCTTTTCCAGGACGCAATTGGCCTTTCTTCTTTCTTTTCTTTTGAAGACGCTTCGCTTCTCGCCCAAAAGCTTCTCGGGCTCTGGGTGGACGAAGGGGAAGGGAAGGATTTTTGCCCCTTGCAAGACAGCTGGTCATTTGCACCCTTTTAGAGAGTCCTCGAGGCCGCTTGGGGGTTGATCTGCGTCCTCAGGGCCCCCCGAGTAGTCAGAGCTAAAGCAGTTTCTTGGAACGGAAGCAAAATATCTTCAAAGAAAAACGAGGAAGTCCAGTGGCCTCTTAGAAAAAGCACCTTGGGGACAACCGTGAACCGGAGGACGGAGAATCTCTACAGGCTTTTAGCTATTCAATTTGGGATGGACGCCCTTGGAAAGGTGTGAGAGCAGGCGTGGATTTCCAGAGGGGAAAAATTGCAGACTACAGGAGCCATTTGCACCACTCGGGTGACCCTGAGGACACAACTAAACCTCCAAGTGTCCTCAACGACCCTCAAAAAGGATGCAAATGACCAGCTGCCTGCAAGGAGCATAAATCCTTCCCTTCCCTCACCATCCAAGTCAGAGCTGAAGAAGCTCCTTGGATGAGAAGCGAGATGCCTTCAAAGAAAAACTAGAAAGCCCAGTTGCCTCTTGGGGGAAAAAAAAGCACCTTTGGGACAAAAGGAATTTGTGTTTCTTTCTTTGATCAACTCTGGATTTCCAGAGGAAAAAAATTGCAGACTACAAGAGCCATTTCACTACTCAGATGACCGTTTATACTCCTTGCAGACGGCTGGTCGTTTGTGTCCTTTTAGAGGATCGTTGAAGCCACTTGGAGGTTTATCTGTGTCCTCAGGGTCACCTGACGAATGCAAAATGGATATGGAGTCCACAACACACAGTCCTCTCAACAGTTCCAAGAAGACTTCACACCCATTTGCACCTCTCAGGTGACCCTGAGAGGACACAGGTAAACCTCCAAGTGGCCTCAACCACCCTCTAAAAGGGTGCAAATGACCAGCTGTCTGCAAGGAGCACAAATCCTTCCCTTCCCCGCCATCCAGTCAGAGCTGAAGAAGCTCCTTGGATGAGAAGCGAAACGTCTTCGAAAGAAGAAACCAGAAAGTCCAGTTGTCCCCTGAAAAAAACCAAAACAAAATCCCCTTTGGGACAAGGGTGACCTTGGAATCTCTACCGACTTCCAGAAATATCTTGAAATGCCAGCTTCTCCGTGCTGTGTTTGAACCGCGGCTGGTGCAGTAGCGGGATTAAAACCAGAGCAAACAGATCTATGGGCTGCCACTGGCTTTGTGCCACCCCAAGGTCAGCCAGCAGCCTTTTGCACCCTGACGCTTCTCTCTTGCTTTCCAGTTGTGGCCATGCTGGGGATGCTGTCTCCCTCCAGCCGGGGGGCTCTGATGACCACTGCCTGTTTCCTCTTCATGTTCATGGGGTGAGTATAGAGTAGCTACCTGGCGCCTCTTCTTTTGGAATGTTTGTGTGTGTGTTTGTGTTTGTGTGTGTGTGTCTGGAAAGGGACGTGGGATGACCCAAAGGGGCGTGGCACCAAGGCAACAAAGTCACAAAAGTAGGTCAAGTCCCTTAATTCCTCCAACTTGACCACCAACGTCGAGTTATCCTCAGCTGGAGAAAAGAAAACTCTCCCAAGAACAATTTTTAAAGGGAAGAAATTCAGTCCGAACCCAAAGTACATCTTAATTATAAACAAAAAGCAACACCAACCACAAAGCTGCAGCAATTAAGGAGACAGGGCGGGATGAGGAATTGCAGAACTCAAAAGATAACGAAACACACACAGTTGGGAGGACGCCAGAACCCAGATAGGACTTGACAAACAAAGATAATGCACGCTTTGTTTCCAGCAAGGTGCTGTGCGCAAACGCCCTTTTCAAATCCTTTCTTCCCAGCTGCAACTAATGAAGGGGATCAGGGCCCTTTCCTTCCCCGTAAGCCATGCAACTCACGTTGCTCCCTTCTCCGTTCCTCCCTGTGTGCCCTAGAATGAAGAGGAGATGGGCCTGGGTCTTCCTCCGAATTCCCTCTCCCTTGTTCTACCTCTCCCCTGCTCTGCCCAACCTGATTTTGCCCTTCCCCAGTTTCCTCCACAGCCACCGGAGCCACACTCCCACTCCCTGTCAGCTGTTCGTCTTCCTCCAATGGGGGCATGACAGAGAACGGAGATAAGAAAATTATAGATAAACCTATATGAATGTATATAAATGTAGATATTTATATGAGATTGGTTTATATAAAAATGATGGCACCATACGGTTAACATTAAGGTTAAGATGTGTAAAAGGTGAAAAAGAACAATAAAAATTATTGGGAGGAAAAAGGAAAAAGTTTTGAAACCCACCACTGAGAATTCCCTGACAACCTTACCCAGGATCAAAGAGGGGTCTTCTTTGCCCAAATCTGCAGTGAGGTAGGGGCTGCACCCCGGTTCCTCAGAGCCGGCAGAACGGGACGTAATCCTGCTCTCTTCTTTTCTCCCGCCCGGCGCACAGGGTCTTCGGGGGCTTCTCGGCCGGCCGCTTGTACCGCACCCTCAAAGGCCATCGGTGGAAGAAAGGCGCTTTCTGTGTGAGTGGAGCTGCTGCCTCTGGCTGGGGAGGGGAAGGGGGCCCTTGGTAGTGGGGGGTGGGACACACAGCGGGGGCCCTCGGTCAGGACAAAAAGGCGGGGCCTAACTGGGGATGGACAGGCAGAGACAATCTCTTGGGGAAAGCTTGTTGCAAGAGACGGTAAAGATTATTCCGACCAAAGCAGAAATGAGGCTCCAATAGAAAAGAATATTTGCAGCTCAGGGTTCAAGTGTGGTCTCTGAGCTGGGTGGTTTTCTTGCAGACGTTGCCTTACCATACTAGGTAACATCAGCAGGGGGAGAAGGGAGTGGGATTTGCGGAGAGGAGGAGGAAGACGACAACTGTGGGTTCCTTGCTGATCTCTGAGCTTGCTTGATTTCTTGCAGGCGTTTTCATGACCCAACTAGGGAACATCATCA